GAGTTTATCATTCTTTATAGCTGAGTAATACTCCATTGTATAAAAACATCACATCTTTTTCATAGATTTCTCAGGTGATGGGCATCTTAGTTGTTTCCAAATTCGACTTTCAGAAATTGTGCTGATATAAACATAGGCACACATATATCATTATGATATGATGTTTTTACATCCTCCCAAAAAATTCTCAGTAGAGTAAAAGCTGGTTTAAATGGGATTTCCAGTCTTAGTTTTCTAAGGAGTCTCCATACTGATTTCCATAATGGTTGCACCAGTCTACATTCCCACCAGAAGTGGAGAAGGGTTCCATTTTCCCCACATTTGTTGTTGGTTGATTTCTTCATGATGGCCATTCTTTCTGGGGTGAGATGATATCTCAATGTGGTTTTAATTTGCATTTCGGGGATGTCTAGTGATGTGGAGCATTTTTTCATATGTTTATTCACTTCTTGAATTTCATCCTCTGAGAAGTGTGTGTTCATCTTGGATGCCCATTTCTGGACTGGGTCTTTAAATTTTGGGGCTCTAGTGTTTTCTAGTTCTCTATAAATTCTAGAGTGCAGATCTTTTTCTGAGTACTTCTTTGTCATGACTTTTTTCAAATTTGTGAGTTGCTTTTTCACTTTGTTGGAAACTTCCTTTGATGTGAAAAAACTTCTCAATGAGAGCAGGTCCCAGTTGTCAATTCTTTCAAGTGTTTCCCATGCGATTTGATTTTTGTTCATGAACCTTTTACCTACCCCTAAGTCTTCAAGTGTTCCTCCTACTTTCTTTTCCAGGAGATTTAGTGTTTCTGTTTTAATCTTTAGATCTTTAATCCATTTTAACTTTAGCTTAGTGCATGGTGATAGACCTGGGTTGTTTTAGTTTTTGGCATGTAGAAAGCCAGTTTTTCCAGCACCATTTGTTAAAGAGGCTATCTTTCTTCCAGTGAGCATGTTTGGCCCCTTTGTCAAAGATAAAGTGGCTGAGTGTGTTGGTAGGGATTTCAGCATCTTCTAGTCTATTTCATTTATCCTCAGGCCTATTTTGTTGCCAGTACCGTGCTGATTTAATCCCAGTAGACTTGTAGTATAATTTCAAGTCAGGAATTGTAATGCCTCCTGCCTTGTCTTTATTGCCCAGGATTGCCTTTGCTATTCTAGGTCTTTTCAGGTTCCAGATAAATTTTAGGAATGATTTCTCTATGTCTGTGAGGTATGTCAGTGGTAGTCTGATAGGGATTGCATTAAATCTGCACAGCAATTTTGGGAGTATGGTCATCTTCACAATGTTGGTTCTTCCTATCCAGGAACATGAAATATCTTTTCATTTTGTGAAATCCTCTACGATCTCTTTTTTGAGAGTACTGGAATTTTCCTTGAACAGTGCTTTGACTTCTTTAATTAGGTTAATTCTAAGGTGTTTCATTTTCCTTGGTGCTACTGTAAAAGGTATTGTTTCTATAATTTCCTTGTCAGTGTTTTGTTATCTGTGTAGAGAAATGCTCTTGACTTGGATATTGACTTGGTATCCTGCTATGCTTCTGAATTTCTTTATTAATTATAATGTCTACTTGGTGAAGCTTTTGGATCTTCCAAGTAAAGTATCATTTGATCTGGAAATAATGATTATTTAACTTCATCTTTACCTATTTTTTCCTTTTATTTCTTTTTCTTGTCTAATGGTTGTAGCTAATGATTCCAGAACTATATTGAGTAGGAGTGGTGATAGAAGACATCCTTGTCTTGTACCAGATCTAAGAGCTAAAGATTACAGTTTTTCTCCATTTAGAATTATATTAGCCTTTGGGTTTTTATAAATAGCTTTTACCAGATTGAAGTAGAGGCAATCTATTCCAATTTTTTTTGTAGGACTTTGAACGTGAATGAGTGTTGGACTTTGTCAAAAGCCTTTTCTGCATCAATGGAGATGATCATGTGGTTTTCTGTTTTCACTCTATTGATATAGTGTATTACATTTATAGATTTTCGAATATTGAATCATCCTTGCTTCTCTGGGATGAATCCAACCTGATCATGGTGTATGATCTTCTTGATGATTTGCTGTATTCTATTTGCTAGGATTTTATTGAGGATTTTGGTATCTATGTTTATCAAGGAGATTGGCCTGTAGTTCTCTTTCTTAGTTGCGTCTTTCCCTGGTTTTGGTATCAGTATAATACTAGCCTCTAGGAATGGTTTTGGGAGGATTGCTTCCTTTCAATATCATTGAATAGTTTGAGGAGTATAGGGACCACATCTTCTGTAAATTTCTTGTGGAATTCAGCTGTGAATCGATCCGGACCTGGACTTTTCTTTGTCGGTAAGTTATTTTTTTTTTATTACATCTCGTATTTCATTGGCTGTTATTGGGCTATTGAGAGTGGTTATATCTTGGAGATTCAGCTTTGGTAATTTGAACCTTTCTAAGACTCTGTCCATTTCTTCTGTGTCTTCTATTCTGTGAAAGTAAAGATTATCAAAGTAGCTATTGATAACCTTCTGAATTTCGGCTGAGTCTGTGGTAATTACACCCTTTTCATTCTTTTTTGCTTTTATTTAAATTTTTTCTTTCCTCTTTTTGATGAGGTTAATTTTAGGGGCATTTTGATTTTATTTAATATTTCAAAGAACCAGCTTTTTGTTTCATTAATTCTTTGAACTGTTTTCTTCGTACCAATTGCATTAATTTCTGCTCTAATCTTTATGATTTCTTACTGCCTTTGGGCTCTGGGTTTGGTTTGTTCTTTCTGTTCTAGTTGTTGAAGGTGCAGCATTAGGATGTTTATTTGTTCCCGTTCTGTTTTTCTAATGTGTGAGTTCACAGCTATGAATTTCCCTCTGAGAACTACTTTCATCCTATCCCATAAATTCTGATAAGTTGTGCTTGAATTTTCAATGAATTGTAGATGTTGTTCAATTTCCTGTTTAATTTCATCTGTGACCTACTGGTTGCTGAGTAGGGTGTCATTTAATTTCCATGTATGTAGGTTTTTTTTTTTCTGGTTTCTTTTGTCATTCATTTCTAGTTTCATTGCAGTGTGGTCAGATAATATACATGGAATAATTTCTGGGTAAGGACATATACTTAAGCATGACTTATGGACCAGTATGTGGTCTATTTTAGAAAATAACCCACGTGCAGCTGAAAAAAATATGTATTCAGCTGTGTTTGGGTGCAACACTCTGTATATGTCCACGTCCATTTGTTTCAAGCTCTCGTTCAGTTCTGTTATTTCTTTGCTAAGTTTTTGTCTCATTGACCTATCTTTTTCGGATAAGGGGGTGTTAAGGTCTCCTATTAGGATTGTGGTATTGGATATTAGATTTTTTCATGTACATTAATATTTGCTTTATATAGTTGGGTGCTCCCGTGTTTCGTTCATACATGTTTATGAGTATTACCTCTTCCTCTTGAATTTTTCTCTAACCAGTATATAGTGGTCTTCCTTATTTCACTTGAGCATTCTTGGTTTGAAGTTCATATTGTCTGTGAACAAGATTGCTACCCTTGCTTTTTTCTGAGGTTCTGGGGCATGTAGTATTGTGTTCCATCCTTTGACATTCAGCCTATGAATGTCTTTATGAGTTAAATGTGTTTCTTGTATACAGCATATTGGTGGATTTTTGTTTCCTAATCCACTGTGCCAGTCTGTTTCTTTTAATTGGTTAATTGAGTCCATTTACATTGATGGTTGTAATTGAGATGTATTGACTTATGATTGACACGGTATTTACCTGTTGTCGTTTACTCCTTTTCCTTCTGTGTTTAATTTCTCCTTATTTAGTTAGTTACCTCTGATCTCATTAGTGGAGTTCTGATCACTTTGGTCCCTCTCTAGAACATCTTTCCAGAGCCTGTGTAGGGTTGGCTTTCTTATCATGAAATTCTTTAGTTGTTCTTTGTCATGAAAGTATTTAACTTCTCCATCAAACTCGAAAGAGAGTTTTGCAGGGTATAGTAGTCTGGGCTGAAATTTGTTTTCATAGAGGACTTGAAGTACTCTGCTCCATGCTCTTCTTGCCTTCATGGTTTGTGAAGAGAAGTTGGCCATGATTCTGATGGGGTTTCCTTTGAATGTAATCTGCTTCTTTTCTCTAGCAGCTTTCACAATATTATTGTTGAGCTGAATTTCTGCGATCTTGACTATTATATGTCTCATTGTGTATTTAATTAGTTTGAGTTTATTTGGCTTTCTGTATGCTTCGATTACCTGAAAGTCAGATTGTTTCCTCATATTTGGGAAGTTTTCTGCTATTACTTAGCACATTGTTTTTAATGTCCTTTTTATTTACTCCTTCTTTCTCATTGATACCTATTATTCTCACATTGTTCAACTTTGCATCATCTTGCAAGTGATGAATTATTTTTCCCAGCATCCTAGTTGTTTTTAAGAGATCTTTTCTTACCTTTTTACTAGCTGCAACAGCGTCTTCAAGATCTGAAACTCTGTCTTTACTTTAATTTAAATGGTTTTGCAAGCTTCTCACTAAGATTTTAAGTTCCTCTATATCTCTTTGACTCTGCTTCATGTGATCTATTTCTTTCCTGTATTGCTCTCAAGGGATCTGTCATTTTTCTAATCTCTTATTTTTTTATCAATGTCTTCTTAGAAGCAGTTATTAATTCTTTTACTGCAGTGTTTTCTTCAGATTGGGTTTCATCCCTATGTTTCTGTAGTTGATTCTTTACTTGAGATGTTACGAGTTCAGAGAATTCTTTTTTTATTTCAGAAAAGAATTCCTCTCTGAGTTCTTCTATAATTTTCTGCTGTTGCTTATTTACTATTGACGCTATGAATTCATACATTTGAGCTGAGCTAGTGTCCTCTGCACTT